TGCTACCATTGTTGCTGCTGCTCTTGATTCTTGACTGGTTATTTAGCAGTTTCTGCAATTGAATTTTGCTAGTTTGAGTACACTGAATACTGTTACTTGACTGTAAAAGATCAAAGATTTTTTTTATTCACTGAAATAACCTTTACTCTGGTCGGAGTTTTAAATTACGAAGTAAAAGCGGCAGAAAAATAAGTGGGATCACTGGAAAAGAGAAAGACTGAAGGAGAGGCAAGAAAAGCAAAAAAATAAAAACTTTTTTCCTTCTTCTACTATTATTATTTTTTTATTTCGGGAAAAAAGGATATCCTTTTTGAAAATTTATTGATTTTTTGACTCGTCAAAATGCTGCAATTATCGCAAAAATCGCAAGCAGAATCTTTGAAGTCCATTTTGCAAAGTGGAAGAATCGATTTTTTTTTGCCACTCCGTCTTCATTGTTGTGTTACGTATGCTCAGTTTTTAGCTACTGCTGCTGCTGTAGCTTCGGACTTACCATCACCACCATCGTCATCATCATCATCATCATCATCATCATCATCATCTCATGAACAACAACAACAACAACAACAACAACAACAACAACAGCAACAACAACAACAGCAACAACAACAACAACCATCATCTCCATCATCACCACCATAACTATCATAATCATTACCAAAATCATAGCTAGTATGAACATGTGTATATACAAACTACGGCACGCTAACATACAACAATAATTTTTTCGATTTTTTAAACTCTGCTATCTGAAGTTGATGAGAAAAAATTGATATGATTGAAAGGATTGTGTTGGAAAGAATAAAAGAGATGAACTGTCAACAGCAATGATAACAGTTTCTTTTTGTTACAATAAAAAATTTATGAGAAGAAACAGAGATGGATAGGAACAGCGATAATTTCTTGTTTTGTAGGCCTCGTAGTCATTTCGTAACCAAATATTTCAGTGAAATCATCGATTAAGAACTTTATTAGTAATGTTGGTAATGGTTATGATGACAATGATGACGATGGTGTTGGCTATCGGTTGCTTGAAAAAACCAGTTCTAGCAGATCAAAAGCTTTTTTGGTTTGAGTTTTGTTGAGTTAATACATTTTTTCTACTGAACGGGTCAAAATTCTTTTGTCTTCTGTACCAGTCTAGACAAATGTATCAATAACTCTTCTGTTTCTTTTGTTATTTTGAAAAATTTGCTTTTTTTACTTGATTTAACTTTTAAGGTATTGAAGGTGTTCTTACTGTGTTTTTTCTGCTTTACGACAGATTCGTTTTGGTATTGTTTCCGTTCAGTCTGATAACTGTTCACTGTTATCCTTACTGAAGGAAAACAGAAAGAACGGATTTCTATATTTGACTTCTTGTTTTTTGAATTTTATTTGTAGATAGATATTCAGGGGTTTTGACCTTTTGATTATGAATGTCAGCTTGAGGAAATTAAGAGAAGGAATTTTTGGCCCTTTATTTTGGTAGAGGAGAGGTAGTGGTCTATATAAATATAATGAAAGATTGAAGTAAAACCGGTAGTTTATACTTTTCTTAACCCTTCTGGAATAGCTGTTTGTTGTTATGAAAAAGATTGCTGCAAAATCAGCAATTTTTTGGAGAAAAGCAGAACAAAGAGAAAGAAAACTTGGTCATATTTATTCTAAATAAAAAAACACATTGAAGTTGAACGGGAAGAAAAAATGCGTTGTTCACAGATGCTTTCGTTATTTTTTCCCGGTGTTGTTTTTTTCTTTTGTTTTACCATTTACTCAGAAAAGTATTGACGAAATTGACTAATGTTAAATAGATCAGAACAACTTTTGGTGCCCAGCTCTTAAATTCTGTTCAGTTTAACTTTTCTGATATTTTCAGTTAATATTTTCTTGGGTAGTTTAGTTTTCCTTCTTTTTTTTTTCTTGAGCCTCACAAATCCTCAGCTTGTGTTTTTCATTTCTTTTATAAAAACGATTGTTTACCGCACATAGAAAAGTTTGTTACGCATATTGCAATTTTTTTAGTATAAAAAAATGAAAAGTGGGTAGTATTTGAAACCGAGAGAAATAAAGGTTCCTTTTTATTAGTTTCTGCATTTTTCTGTTAGTCTCTTTTCTGTTTTGGATATCTAGGCGATGTCCAATGATAAGGGTGACAAAAAATAACGTGGCATTAATTTTACACAGTAAAATAAAAATGGGTTGGTAGATTTGTTTCTTTCACTTTTTTTTCCCGGTTGTTCGTCTCTTTATTCATTTCCAAAATGCCAGGTTCTGGTTGCCTGAATAGTCTCTGCTATTCGGATTTACTCATGTTCGTTTACGTAACATAATCTAAGAAGTAATTGGTTTAAGTTTATTACTCCTTAAGATTTATTACTCCTTCGATATAGCCGTCGTTTTGTTACTGTAATGCATAATCAGTGCTGATTAAAGTAATACGGGGAAAGAAAGGGAGCGGAAGGAGAGGGCTGGAAGTGAGGTGCAGTGGCCCGGTTGGGCAAAAAGCCAACTGCCCGAAAGTGATAATTGAACATCGTTTAAAGCTCACAAAAATTGCATCTGGAAGCACAGTTGAAGCTACGCTCGGTATCTGTGTGTATGTGTTTGTTTGGATTTGTGTGTGTATGTGTGGATTTGTAAGAAAAAAAAAACTAGGAATAAAATTGGCCTAAAAGTTTGTTGGTTGCTTTTAAGAGTAATGCCGTTAATCTGATTTGTTTATGTCGCAAAACAACAACGACGACGATGACGACGACGACAAAAAAAAGACTTCTTTTTTTTTTTCTTTTTTTGCTCCCCCCTTTAATGCTTCCAAATTTGTGATTGTTGAGCAAACAGAAAAAAAGAAAAAAAAAAAAGAAGAAAAAAGGATGAGGGAAAAGCATTTTTCTTTTTGGTTGTTACTGCTGAAATATATACATATCCAAGTAAATTCTTCGTTCTTTTCAACATATCTGGATCAAGCAAGAAAATAAAAGCGATGGGAAAAGAGAGCAAAAAATTTTTGTTTTTTTTTTCTCGGAAGGAAACGAAAAGAAAAGCATAAATTTCAAGACATTTAGGGCTTTTCAAAAAAGCATGCAAAACCAAAACAAACAAACAAACAAACAAAGAAACAAACTATCATCCATTCGTTCCTCTTTCCTTCCCCACCCCATCCCAGTTACTCCTCCTTATCCTTCTTCTTTTTGTCCTTATTCCCCCTTCTATTATTTTACTTTGTTCTGGCGTTTTTCTTTGTTATTCGTAATTTTTGCAGACATATTTCAAACAATAACGTTTTTCAAATGTAACTCAAACAGACGAATACCACATTGAAAAAAAAAAAACACGAAGATAAAAGGAGAATTTCTAACAACTATGAGAGTATAAAACTTGGAATTTTTTCTTGAATTTTATTTTACTATATCATTTCATCTCTCCTCTTACTGTTCTGATTTTAATAGTCTCTCTATTTATTACTTCCTAAAAAGGTTTAACACCAACATTTCCACCACACTGTTCGTATCTGTGAACGGTTTTTTACCTTTTGCCTTTAGACAATGTCACTTGAAAGTGCTACATGAAGATACTAAATATTTGGTGTTTTCGAAGAAAAGATTTTTTAGCTGTATGGGTAACCATCAATTGCTTTTTATTGCACACTTTGTTGATACCAGAGTATTTTTATTTATTTATTTATTTATTTATTTATTTTTTTTTTGGTTTTACCCTCTTCTACCCACAAATCTTCTTCAAAAACTCAAATAATGACAACTTTTTTCAGTAGATGGTGGTAGAAGTTGAAAAAAATTGAATATAAAGTTCAAGTAGAGGCAACTGCAGTGACAACCAATGAAAAAAAAACTTGTAATAAGAAAGAAAAAAAGTTGAATTTAATATTGAGATTAATATTTTTTTTTCAGATTTTGTTTACAGATTTACATATACACATATGCTTACGTTTGGCACTTCTTTATTTATCTGTACTTTTTGATTTAAAAATGAACTCTTCTTGACAGTTTTGGACTGGGCTCGAGTGGACAAAACAGCAAGAAAAAAAAAAAAAAAAAAGGAAAAAGAGCATGGCTTCAGAAGTTTTCAACAGTACCTACACAGTTTTATCACTGTTTTTTTTCTTTTTTTTTTTTTTTTTTTTTTTTTTTT